TGATTGATTGATTGATTGATTGATTGATTGATTGATTGATTGATTGATTGATTGATTGATTGATTGATTGATTGATTGATTGATTGATTGATAGATGGATGGATGGATGGTATCATTCATTTATTCATTTATTTATATTTACTACTACTACTACTATTCTAAATTATTTATTTGTTTATTTATTTTGTAATAATTCATAACATATCATAGAGTAGTCTGAATGATATACCACATGAGAAGTTTACCGCAGCTCGTAGTAAAGCAAATCCATATGAGAAGATTGAAAGTTATATTTTTATCAATCGATCTGCTATAAAATTGGCTTGTTTAGACGCATTGTTTAGTTTTACCAGAACTAAAAGATATGATCCTGTTAAAGATTTGGTAAAAACAATTTGCTATTAATATATTAATAAAATTACGACTTAATTATTAAAAATATTTATCCAATTGTTTTTTTTTTGAAGGTGTTTTGGTTTGCAGATTTATGTGGTGGACCGGGTGGATTCGCAGGTTTTTATCAATCAATTTATATTTGAGTCTATATTTTTTTTATTATTCGCATACACAGACTTGTAACAATTTTTTAGAGTATTTATTATGGAGGAAAAATTCATGGAGCGAAAAAGCATTTGGATGGGGTATAACTTTAACTGGTGATAGAGATTATGACTTGGATAGGTTTCGTTTCGAGACTTTAGTTAAAGATTGTTTTAAAAATTGTTATGGTGCTGATGGTACAGGTAATATTGTTAACCTATTTTATAATAAGTATGATTTAGCATTTTTTATAAATACAATAATAACCTTTATTAATAAATTTTTTATTTATATATATGTATATTAAGGTGATTTATATAATGAAGAAAATATTAAAAATTTTGCAAAAGTAGTGATGGAAGGAACTGATGGTGTCGGTGTTGATTTGGTTACAGCTGATGGTGTACGTTTAATATAATTTTCAATTTATTTTTTTTTTTAATTATTTTAAATCCTCCACTAGTGTCTTTTCTTTAATTAGTTTTTTTTCTAGAGTCTTAATTTTAGAGGAAAAGAAGATTTGCAAGAACATCATTCAAAACAATTATTGTTATGCCAAGTGATTGCAATGTTTAAGACTTTGAAAAAAAGTAATTAATCTATTTTATTTATCAAAATCATGACAACTTTCTAAAAACAATAAAAAATATCATCATTAATCAATTTGTTTTTTTTTTTTAGATGGTGACTTTGTGATGAAATTATTTGATATTTTTACACCATTTACTGGTGGTATTGTATGGATATTATATAGATATTTTGAACAAATTTCCATCATAAAACCTTTAGCAAGTAGACCTGCAAATTCTGAAAGGTAAATAAATAAAAGACACTAGAATTTATTATCATCATAATTATTATATTATATTAAATTGATATATACTAATTATATCATTATTTATAGATATATAATTTGTAGAAGTTTAAAACAACACAATCCACCAATGGTAGATTATCTTTTTGATGTTAATAAAAAATTCAATGATTTAAAAAAAAAATCATCCAAAGACCAGCATCAACAAGATCATGACAATAATATTATCCAGATAGTTGATTTAAATGAAATCAATAAAGATGAAGATTTTGTTGAATTTTTGAAAATGAGAAATATGAAAATTGCAATAAAACAAACAGAAGCAATTGAGGATATTTTAAAATATGTGAATGATCCGTATCCTTTCTTTTTTTTCCCAATCAAAATAGTGTTTGTTGTTCTTGTAATTTTAATGTTTCCTGATTAATAATATTATTCATTAACTCTATTTAAAATTAGGAATTTAAAACCACCAAATCAAGATGAATATAAAAGACTTTGTTTGCTTGAATGGGGTTTAAGTTTGGATGAATTTGATGACGAAGATGAACAACAAGAGATGGAAGAAGATAATCCTTATGATATAGCTTATTAAATGAAAATGAAAAATACCAAATTATTTTATTTATAATTGTTTTTATTTTTGTATTATTATATGGGCGTGCTGCAACAAACCAGACAAAGTGAAATAAATTAAGTCTTACGGTTTTCGTGTGACATAAAATGTACGTGTTTGTATTCTCCCAGAGGCAATACATGTACGGGGGATTAACCTGAGGTCTAGCTCTGATGGTTTTTTATCTTAATATTTTTATATATAAATTATTATTCTATTTATTAATTGAATCAAAATAAAATACGATTTTCTTTGTTGTTTGATTTTTTTTTTGTGTGAATCTCTTTGTCTCCGTGTTCATTACACAACGTTTGATATGTGCTTTGTGTATGACTATTATATACAGTTTACTCTCTCTATAACGGATCTTTCTATAACGGATTTTTCTCTATAGCGGACAAAAAATTCTGGCCCAA